TTGACATATTTAAAGATATTTATAAAATTAAAATAAATAATTCGAGAAACTTACGATAATTTAAAAATCGTGTGTGTAATCGGTTTGAGCAAGGAATATAAATTAAGCTCACCCTGTCTCCGAAATATGTAAAAAGCACACGAGCATAATCCTGAAAGTAATCTGCCAAAAGCAAGTTCGGCCATCCTCCCAGATCTTGGAGTGCCTGAGGTAAATCCCAGTGATACATGGTCACCTGGAATGCAATACATAGTGTAATTATATCCCGAAGTAACTTGTCATTTATTTTGCCCAAATGCTGAGTTAAATTTGCTTTGTGATACACGTTTGTTGATAATTATTGTTATATCTCCAGATTTAATATCTTTTGAAGTAAACGCAAAACACGGCAAGATCATCTCTGACTATTTCAAACGTATCGCAAAATATTTTCTTGTTCCTTTGTAAAAACTGTTTTTGCTAAGGTTCGAAGGTACTTACCATCGGTTCGATGCCATTGGCTAGTAGTTCGTCTATAAGATTGTTGTAATAATCGATACCAGGTTGATTCACTTTGTTGTCATGTCCTTCTGGAAGAATGCGAGCCCAAGAAATGGAGAAACGATAGACTTGTGCCTGAAGAGATAACATTCATGTCTTTAATTGTCCTTATCTTCTCTGTATCACGTTTAAATTTATTTCATAATGTTGTGATCTTTACTCATTGTGGTTGTTTCAAAATATAACGGGAGATTTCAGACTATTTTCAAATAATTTTTAAAAAAAAAATCGAAAAGGGAGATACGATAATACACAGAAGTGATAATTTATAATCTTATGTGTCCTGTGAAGTGACAGATATATAATTAAAGTATTTCCTCGAACAAATACAGTAAACGTTTAAATGTTTTATTTAAAAACATCAGATTTTACTGACAAAATACGTTATAAATAATAAATACGTAATGGTATAATTATTTACAGTCCTGAAATATTTAATGTGCATTAATTATTACGGGATAAAATTTATTCCTTATCAATTTTTTATTGTTCTCTGTAGTTTTAAACATGTGAACATAATTGGCAGAATAAATTTAACCATTTTATATAAACATTTGAAAATGGCAGGCGTTTGTGAATGTGGTAGTGTGAGTTTTTGAGTTCCGACGAGAAATTAATTGACTAGTTGAGCAAATGTTAGCTTTGCAAGAAGGATTGATGCTCACGCCCAATTCCTTGAGAAGTTTGACGTCCTCCTTGTATCGGTGGTATGAGTCATCCGCTTTGTCTCCAGTGGATCCATCAACAACCAAGTCAGAACGCGTGTGTGTCAGTGTGTCCCAGATATTGGGACCCTTTCCTGAAAAAAAAAATGTCGTGAGAGCTAAAACTGAAACACTCGCAATTTTCATTTTATTTTTGAGTTTAATGAACAATGTATATACATTGAGGATAAAATTACGAGAAGAATTTTTATGTTAAAAATGTATATTGAAGATTATCTAAAAAAAAGATGTGATAAGATGAAATTTAATGACGAATTAACTGGAATATTCTGATTTAAAGTATTAGCTTCATCAACAGAAGGGAATTTCTCGGAGAACGTAACACAAAGTTTCCCCTTACCACTTAATTAATTAGTAGGACGATACTTTTATGAATAGCATCGCACAACTTAACTGTTAAAGAAACTTATATAAATTATATTGTTACTAAGTACGTACAGACCTATTCGCTTTGTCTAATGGCTCCAGAAATTCTGTGTTAACTTTTGTAATATTAAGTTTCTTTTTAACTTGAGGCATAGGTTCTTTAACTAAGACTTGTTTGTTGCAAACTGAATATTATGGAGCTCGAAGTTAATGAAGAGACTTAATTTTTTCTAAGTATAGCAAATTCTAGATCAAAAATGTGTCGTAAATTGGCCGGTTGATTTTGCATTTGTGGGTTTCGAACGATTCTCAACTTAAACAGCGTTAACCAGTCGATCTCCGTAATGGTGAAGTGTGGTGTTTTCTTCGCGGTACGGACTGAATCCTTAAATATTATTTAGATCTTTGGCCAGAAAGGGTTAACCAGTTGATATTCGTAATGGTGAAGTGGTGTGTTTTCTTCGCGGTACGGGCCGAATTCTTAAATGGTATTAAATTAAGCCTTACCGTCCTCATTCCATGCTCCTTCGATCTGGTACGAAGCTGTCGCAGCACCTAACTTGAAGTCAGCTGGAAACGTGTACAGGATCTTGGGATCAATGTCTCGCTTAGCTCCAGACACTACCGTTAGAAAGGCGACGAGGCAAACGCTTTGGAACGTCATCTCTTTCATCTGCTACACGCCCTGGACCTGGCAATGCAACAGGATCACAACAAGGTCTTCCGTTTTATATATGACAGACGTATTATAAATTTATGAAACTCATTTATGTTTCCGTTCTGTGCGTTCTGTGAGTTGTGACAAACACAATCATTCATTCCCACGCCAGAGTCTTTATCGTGTGTGTAATCAGATGTTCAGAGAAAAACATTGCCAAACAACTGTATTTGTTATACGTGAATGATTTTCTGTTATTTATATGTGACTCGGGTAATAAAAGGCTTTCTATGCGCAAAATCACACGTCTGTTGTGATACAATTATTGCAAACATCGTAATATATTTTCAGTATATCAAAATATTGTAATTTGTATAATCAGGTGTTGAGAGAAGAACGTGGAGCTGGAGTTTAATTTATTACAACTGTTCGTCTGTTTTCGTCATATGATTATGAACAGCTGTGTAAAAGCAAGGGACGGGGTTTTATAACAGTTCTTACGTATTTTGTTTGTAGTTCACAGAAAGGATTCGTGGATTCCTTTCGAGATTTTTGTGACTACTCGCGTCGTATGTAAGTTCACACAAGAAATTAATTTTAAAGAATAGTACTAAAAATTGTAGGACAATTTCAAGGCAACAAAAAAATCAGACACTGCAGCTCTATATGAACAGTGGGCTTATGAAATGTTGATATCAGATTCCAAACCCGAGATTTCTTACTTTTATAACCGAGGAATGTTTTAATGAGATTAAACCGGAGAATGAAAATTATTCGTAAACGATTTGGAAGGTAGAAGGGGAACACGGAATATCAGATCAGATAAGATGAATCTACAGCCAGCCAGACGCTGTTAGCCAGCTGGTTCAGGCTTACGTTCGTGTTATCCGGGGCTAACGCGATTTAAAAAAACCTGTTGAATATTGCAGAAAATTTATGATTTAATCATAATCAGTGCGACATTCATAATTGCATGACAGATTATGTATAAAACTAGTTATATTGATTTTTAATATGGGCATATGTTCAAAAACACGTTAAGCCTACACATTTTAAATGCATTTATTAACCTTTATCTTACAATATTTTTTATGGAGATTAAACAGTATGGAAACGCAACTCAAATTTATGAACATGAGCGTTACTTTCAAATAAAGTTGCCCATTAATATTGGGATCGTTAAAACAGCAGTAAGGTGGAATTTAATCTCTGAAGCGCTCTGGGATCTGTCTGCTCCTCGTGATTTCACCGTAAACCTTGGCCGAGTCCTTCGCGGTACGCCGACGGTTTGGGTCGTTGAAATCCACGTGGTACAGACCGAACTTCACCCTGAAATGAGAACACCCTGTACATATAAGACATCCGCTTCTACAAATGACATTTAGATTATAACATCTTACATTACATAATTGGAATAAGTTAAATTTTAACTTTAAAATATGTATCCAGCATTTAAGGTTACTATCATCCGGGATGTTGCGCCTTGTAGTCTAATAGATATTCACCGACGTTTCAGTAGTGCTCAGGGAAGTTTTTTTTCATTGTTATGCCCCGAAGATGTAGACAGCATGTTCCTGTGAAACGTTCTTATCTACCTACAAGTCAATAAGACCTACATCGACGTATTCACTGCCGTCAGAACTTCAAATGTCATAGCCATTTATTTATTTATTTTATTAGTTGATAGTGGTCTAATAATCGAATACAACAAACATTATTTTATACTCACCTATATCCTTCGTTCCACTCGAAATTATCAAGTAGAGTCCAGGCTGTGTACCCAATGACGTTGATTTCATCAAAATGAATTGCTTTCAACATCTCCTTCAGATAACTCTGAAAGTGTGGGCATTATTATGATAATATTAATATATTACTCGCAAAAAATAACGAGGAGATCGATAATAGTAAACACAAAAGAACCCAGAAGACAGTCATCTTCAATCTAACTTGATTAAAAATTGAATAAAAATTTCCTTGGATATTATCCATCGTCTAGTAAATATAAAACGTAAAACGACGTTTCGGAGATGGGACTCTATCTAGTGGGCCCAACTGTGTAGGAACCTGAAGACGGAGATAGAGTCCCATCTCCGAAACGTCGTTTTACGTTTTATATTTACTAGACGATGGATAATATCCAAGAAAATTTTTATTCAATTGACTCTTCACCATCGTCAAGAAGTTTTAGATTTGATTAAAAATTCCTCTGAAATTTTCGAGAATTATTTTACGATGTAGGCGATAGCAAAATTTTTCTCCCCTTTTAAGATGAAAGGCGCTAAATAAAGCTTTATGTAGTTGTACAGAATTTTGTCAAGTTCTGTTCAAACGTACATTTTGAAAATAAAATGTTCATTACTATACTTAAAGCCGACGTTGTATACTTTAAGATAATTACAGCGTCGTTAAATAAATAAATACACAGTCCTGTCACAGATAAAGTTAATGGCAAATGTCACTTCCCTGCTGTCGTCAACACCTGCTATGTCGTAGGTAAATTGATTGCGTTGTTGTTATTATAGATTGAAAGTTAACATTGTAGCGCTTTGCGATTAGTCATGCAGTTCTAGCTGAGAAGTGACAGTTGCGTTTAGTTTAGTCAGCGAAAGCTCTGTGCTTCGTGACCTCGTTCATAAGTTAATATTTTTGAAAAAACAGTAAATAATTATGATCTTGGATAGCGAGGTCTGTATTGTACCGGAAGGTAGGCCTTTGTTTGGGAGGAAAAATGGATGTCAACTTATTACAATGAGAAAAGGTAACTTAAGCACTCACGGTTAAGAAATATACTCTGCCTGTATCATTGAGACCGCCGAGGTCCGAGAATCCATTCTCGGTGACGAATATAGGGGGATTATTATATTCTCTTACTACCCAATTTAATTCCTTGCGAAATCCCCATGGTACCACCTGGAACACAGGCAACAATTCACATACAGTAAATACATATTTATTTATTTATTTTATTTATTTAGTGTTGTGTCTGACGACAGGTCCATATGAACAGGATCCTTCCATCCTTTTCTCGGACTGGGACCTGTTCATATACGTTCTTGGCAGATGATCCAGAAGTGGTTTGCCATTGCCTTCTTCTGTGTGTGAATGGAGTAATTTTTGGGATGCCACGGAGGAAAACTCCGTGTTGCCTAGACCACGGCCTTGCCCAACACAAGTTATAAATTCGACCCCGAGACCCCCAGGATTACAAGGCCAGAGATTCTAACCGCTGGACCACCGTTTAAGGAAGTAAATACATAGGATAACAGAAGTAAGATTATGTTCTTAAAATTTACGACAATGAGAAGATCGCGGGAAATAGAATCTTAGAAAACTTTTGACGTGCAACACAACAGATTAAAAAACACTGGTGAAAATTGTGTACTGTGTTTATTTGACAAGTTGACACCAATAATTTGTCAAATTGTTGAATAAACTGAATTACTCGTGTGTTCATTAAATTTTTGATTATTTTTTTATGATGGCGTTAATGTTGGTATATGAAGAAAGGAGGTGTTGTAAGGGACAAATATAAATTGAATCTACGTACTTTGAGCCATGCAGAACCAGACGATGGCCACGAAGGATCTTGTGTTAGGATGAATCCACCATCTCCCTCCCTTGATGGGGTGGGGCCTGTTTGTCCTGCCTTTCCAATGGAAGCCGTGTAGAAATTCAAACCGAAGAAATCAGATGTTCCTGTCATTAAAATATTTTCTGTAATGCATCTACCATAGACTTTTAACACTAACTGTTGCTGACTTCGGAAGACGTGAGGAGTTCATCACATCTTCTGATGTCATAAATATGAACA